AAGAATTTAAATTATCAATCGAGATACTCTTGCTTTACCGCAACTACGGATCGTTACCGATCTATTGCGCTGACAACCACTGTTTAAATACGTTACCAATCTACTGCCGATAGTTAAGTCAAAAGCTTAGTTTTCACAACAATAGAAATAATAAAGTAAAAGGTTTTGTAATAATAATTAAAGGATAGTGATCAGATCGATCGTTTATTATATCCGAATATTTCAGTATCGAATATTATTTATTTCATAACATCAACAATTTAACATGAGGATTTTTGACGGTCGGGGCGACTTTCTGAGTCATGGGACTTTGTCCTTATCAAAATGTAAATGAGCTCCATCATTAGATAGAGCAGATCTTATTGCTTCTATTCAAGAACATCGTACAAATAAGCATACCAACTGTTCTGCCTCCCAGAGTAGTGATTTATCTAATCAACTATAACAACTGGTGCGAGTGGAAGGTCTTTGAATCTTTTTTCGATATGGGCCAAAATCTTTCTAGATAATCTTCGATGGAGGTACCTCTATCAACACTTTCTCAGCACTTCTTTCAGTACATATACTGTATATATCTACATTATATGGATCATATCGCCACCCTTATAGTTATGTCCACGATGAAGTAAAATTCGATACTCATCCATTACAATATCAACCATCTTCTCCTGATCTGCTATTAATTCCCAAAAAAGCTATTTATCTTCCTCTGTAACTGGAAGATAAACTTCTTCAGGACTGAAACCTATATACTAGAAATCTGATTACGTAATTCGTAAGACATTTTTCCGTTACTATGATACGTAATAAAAACATATTTAATTTATTTCACTATGTCACGTTATAACGGGCCTCAGGGAGCGATGCCATGTGTTTTAAATCCGCGAATCAGAGATCAGCATAGAAGTACTTTAGAGAAATGACATAGTTTCGCGAAACAGCAATAGAAAAATAGTTGGTTTGTTGATAATGCGTTATTCTATATCTGGGATAATCGTTACATGATCTATTTCAGGTGTACTACAAGCATATAACATAATCTTGCTGCGAAATAGTATCAGAAGACATGTTATCATTTTATAATAATATAAAATCACGTAGCTGTCAAAAAAATATTACTATTCACTCGCCCAGGTTTGTATAATTATTTACTTTTATTTTGATATCTATACTCCATTGATATAGGAGAAAATATACTTCGTGTATTAGTAAAGGTAGCATGGCTTATGCCATAATCTCAATTTCATGCCCCCACATTTAATAAAATAGGATTTAGCTTCATATCTACCTCTTATACTCCATAATAGTCGAAATTTTCGCTACTAAATTCTCTATATATATCAGGATTCTGGACTAATATTTTATTTATATGACGAAAATAATTATGATTATGGGCTGAATTATTTTGCTTTTCGGGTAAAGTTGAGGTGTAGATGATATACTTACCTGAGTTTCCAGTGAGACCTTCTTGGTAATAGGTGTCAAGGTAGGTAGTATACGTACCTTGGCGTATGGAAAATCAGTTGAGCTAGATGATTTTGATATATGCGCGTGACAATTTGTCACACTGATCACTTTTGCCAAGAAAAAAAATCGCAACTACATTGTGGTTGCTGGCATTGCACTCAG